ATAATAATAATAATAATAATAATAATAATAATAATAATAATAATAATAATACATCGTGTCATTCTCTTTGATTGTTCAGGGCTCCTAAATTGTCCAAATATTTATTGTAAATAAACCAACCTTGGTCCTCTGGGATAACATCCTAGGCTGCTTGGGTACTGAAATGTCTCTAAAACTAAGAACCTTTTTGAGATTGTAAAAATAATTGATTACACCTATTACTCTACTGGGGGAACCACTTCCAGGAGACACCATTGTAATGACAAGGCCTCAGTAATTGCAATCCTCTCTGAAGGTAGCTGAGGGAACTCACTGCCCAGAAAGCAGGACTAAGCAAGCAATCTGGCGCAGCCTGGGATCTTGAAAAGGCGAGCCATTTCAAGGTGAGGTCTGTGTGTGTCAGAGATGGGTGGGAGGCTCAGGTGTACACCTGGGGTTGTTTCCATATGCTCTGGCAGCAAACAAGGAGATGGAAAGGCTGTTGGAGGTCAGGAAGTTTTGCGTATTCCATGCAGCAGCTGAAGAATCCACACCCATCACTGACTCACAGGAAGCACGAGGATGATGCCACCCCTGGGCTGAAGGGAAGGCTCAAGCCACAGCATGTTCAAACAAAGCCGTTGGTTCAGATCCTAAGACTGGCGCCCACCACGTGGCAGAGAATACACCGCTCTTACTTAGCACGCATATCCTGCCCGCCCTTCTCCTCCTCTCCAGGTCTGTCTGTCTATTCGTTCGATTTCTGCTCTATCTTTCTTCCTGCGAGGAACCCATGGCAGTTTACCCAAAGCTCTTCTGCACTGCATCCTCACCTGGGAAGGAGGCGAGGCTGAGAGTCTGCGACTGGCCCAAAGTCAGCCAGTGAGCGACACGGCAGAGTGGAAGCCAGAACCTGGGTTTCTGGGACCCAGTCCAGGACTCTAATCACTGTGCTACGCTGGCTCTTCTAAATAACAAAATGCCAGTGGAGACGAAACACTGATACAAAATTGGCTCCAGGGGATCGGGTGGAACAGTTCTTTAATTCTCCTTTTAGGTCACAGATGTTGCCCAATGATGAGGGGGGAGCAGGGGGGCTTTCCCCCCCCCCAAAGGCAGACTTCCAAACTATTCAGAGAATGGATCTGGCTGATTTGCTGGCCCAGCCATCATGCTAAAGATGCCATTTGCTTTTGCTTGTCCCCATCATCTTGAAAGGCAACCTGCGTTTCACCCGTCCTTGGCAGCAGGAAAATCGCCATGAACGTGAACTGCAGCAGCCATGAGTCGCCTGTCCCAGACAGCAGGACCTGAAGCTCTGTGTCTGCTGCTCCAGCTCTAAGCAGAACCTCCCCACCCTGCAAACCAGGCTTCGCTTCCGACTGCGGCCTCAGGTTTCTTCATGGTCCCAGCCTTGTTCCCCAGTACGGCGGCACCCTCCAGCTACCCTGCTCTCATCTGCTCTTCCCATGTTTTATTCCAGAGGGAAATTCAGTCAGTGCCTTCTAACATCACACGCCGGTCCCTCCAGGGTGAGCTGAGGAAAGCTTGTGCCAGCAAAACAACAGGACGTCACCTGGATCTTTTCTTTGTTTGTTTGGTGGGTGTGTTAATCTATGTGCAGGTGAAGCAAGGTGAGGCGAGTTGTACGCTGGCCTTCTCACAGCGTTCTTTCCGACCTGTTCAAAGTCTCCTTTGTTATACAAGGAGGCTGATGATGTTGAGGCAACACACATGCAGAGACC